CAGCAATGAGCTAATTATACATTAAAGTGGTGATAGATTTTGTGACTAAGTCAGTACTATCCTTCTGGATATTGAATACTCACAGAAGAGGTAATCTTTTAAAATAGTAGTAGTGTGTTGGGTGGGGTTGTGCATGTGTAAGAGGGCAGCTCTGTGGGTTCGATCTCTCCACTATACACGGGTTCTTAGGTTCACTGGGATTGGTTTGCTGACCTCCTTCCTTACTACCCCTTGTTTTGAAGAAGTGTCACTATGTCAGCTGGCATCAACCTAACTAGCTCAGGCTGTTCCCGAACTCACGAACCTCCTCTCTCGGGTTCCCAAGGGCTAGGATTGCAGGCATGACCCCACATGTCTCTGATCTCCACTTGTTTCTCTCTATAGAAAGGAAATGAGATGATGTCAAGCACATTTCTCCCTCCCATCTGGGCCAGGTGCTGGGTTTCTATCACAGCCCCGCAGCCCCGACCTTCACCAAGTAGGGAACAAGTGACAGAATAAACACGGGAGAAATTACATCGATTCCTCAGGAAAGCTTGCTTAAGTAGCAAGATCTTAGAAAGGTTTTTCAAACTGTGATGTTGGTTTGGACTTTTAAGACTGGGTGTCTCTGTAGACCAGGCTGGCCTTGACTCACTGACGCTTGCCTGTACCAAGTGCTGGGATTAGAGGTGTGCACCTGGTCCTTATTCATATGCTTAAAGCCAACTGGATATTGCCACAGTGCCTTGTACAGGTATCTGGCCGATTATTATAGCCTGCTTCTTCCTACGTGTCTCCCAGTAGTCCAGATAAGCAACAGCTGGACCAATAAACACCTGAGTCACATAAAGCCTCAGTTTTGCCTTTCACTGTGGATGGTTCAGACATAGCCATATGTCAAATCATATTTCTGGCAAGATCCCTTCATAGTTTCTAGGCTAATTTGGTTTCATGCAGTGGTGCAGTGTTATATAACAGTGGCCTGTGCTGATGGTCGTGGCCACAGGCAACAGCTCTGTCCGATAAGATTCTTCACTGACATTAGATGCCAGATCATGGGGCTTCTCTTGTCATGAGGCTTTATACCCCCTGGCCAGGCCTATCTTCTGTCTTTTCAGACGTCTTATATTTAAAAATGTAATGCCAGCCACTAAAATAGGTCCTCTATGGTTCTTTGCACTGTTGTCGTGGTCATTCCATGACGCAGTCAGACGTGCATGTCAGTCCTACTCAGGATGCTGCTTAATGCTGTGGGAAGAAGAGGCTCTCAGAGCCAGGGCAGAGCTGAACGTAAACCCCACCTCTAACTTGCTTAAGCTCTCTGTTCCTTCGTTTATAAAATAAGGATAGCGATTACCTCAAAGTGAGGTTGTAAATGAGGGGCCAGGGAGGTGGTCTAGCTGGGAAAGCACTTGCTGTGTGTGCATGAGGACCTGAGTTTGCTCCCTAGAAACCAAGTAAAAATGCAGGGTGTGGTGGCATGTGTTTAAAATCCCAGCAGAGGGCTGGAGAGATGGCTCAGTGGTTAAGAGCATTGCCTGCTCTTCCAAAGGTCATGAGTTCAATTCCCGGCAACCACATGGTGGCATCTGTAATAAGGTCTGGTGCCCTCTTTTAGCCTGCGGACACACACACACACACACACACACAGACAGAATATTGTATACATAATAAATAAATAAATAAATAAATAAAAATAAAATCCCAGCAGAGTGATGGAGACAGGGGGTTCCTGGACTTGCTGACCAGCCAGCCCAGCTTACCCAGCAAGCTCCACACCAGTCAGAGACTTTCCTTCGTCTCTTAAAAACCAGGTGGAGCTTGAGTGGAGCTAATGTGTGAACACAGAGACAGGTAGGCAGGGTAAGTGTTACTGAATGAAAATGGCGGGCTAGTGAGGTGGCTCCGGGAATAAAGGAGCCTGCTGCCAAGACTGACCACCAGAGGTCCATTCCCGGGACCCACGTGGTGGAGTTATCCTCTGACCTCCACGTGTAAGATATGCAGGTGCACACCTACACACTTGTACACAAGTACATAAATACACGCTAAGTAAAATAAATGTAGTACTTAAAAATGGTAGTGAGCGTAGGGATAGCGTGGGAGCTGACTCAGGGTTCTGACCTGGCTTCTAGACAGTGCTATCCTTTATCAGCGTAGAAATGAAGGAAGCGGCTGGTGAGAGGGCCAGGCAGCAACAGAGGAAGTTTAATTTCGGGCATGTTACACTCCTCATACCCGGGGGATGTCCAGTAAGTGGTTTTCTGTATTTGCCCCCTGAGATCAGACAATGGCACCAACCAGAAAGGTTGGCTTGGCGTTAGAGTGCAGCACGCGGCTGACCAACCCAACTGCTGCCGGTCTTCTCTTTATGACAGCTAGCACATGCTAGGCACTCTGAGTATTTATTGTTGACATTACTTTCACTACTTCTTGAACCTTTGATTGCTTCTATATTTGCTTTAGGGGAAAAAATCAACCTGTTTAATTTTGCTCTGTAGTGCACATCTCAGTCCAGAGGCCAGCCTGGAGATGCTCAGTACACAACTCAGTGCAGAGGCCAGCCTGGAAATGATGCTCAGTACACAACTCAGTGCAGAGGCCAGCCTGGAGATGCTCAGTACACAACTCAGTGCAGAGGCCAGCCTGGAGATGCTCAGTACACAACTCAGTGCAGAGGCCAGCCTGGAGATGCTCAGTACACAACTCAGTGCAGAGGCCAGCCTGGAGATGCTCAGTGCACATCTCAGTCCAGAGGCCAGCCTGGAGATGCTCAGCAGCTAAAAGCACTTGCTGCCAAGCCTAGTTTAGTTCCCAAGACCCGCAGAGTGGAAAGAAAGAACCATCACCCCTGCCCAAGAGCATACAAAACAAACACTCAAAAAGAGGTGCTAGCCTAAGCAGTGTTTAACCAGCAAATAACGTCTTGATGACAGTTATCATTTCTGCAGACTGACACAGATTGGCCTGCCAGGCGTGGTGTTGCAAGCCTGTAATCCCAGCACTTGGGAGGATTAACCACTAACTCAAGGCCAGCAAGGAACACAGTGAGGCTGTTTAAAAACAGACAACAATAAGATTGTTCGTTGTTCGGTTGTCATAATCAGCCAGCTTTCCAGTTGTAGGGAGATTGTGCAGAGAAGTTTTGCTACCCCTCGCATGTGAAAGGGCTTGGTCCTTCCCGGAGCTGGGATGGGTGAGAAAGCCCATTTGTGAGCTACTTTTGGTCAACTCCTTAGGGAGAAGAAAAAAATAAAACCCAAAATCTTGTGAGAGAAGGACACCAGAAAACAGTCCAGTGTGCTCATAGCAACGACAAATCTGTTCTGTGTCCTCTAGGCCAAGCACATTGGAGCTGCCCTGCTGATTGGTTGAATTACGTAAAGTGGGTTGGTACCTTAGAACTGCAAAATGTTTTCATAGATGTTATAGTATTTGATCCTAGGACCTTTACGAGCCCAGCTAAAAGTTAGTCTCATTTTAATTTGAGGAAATTCATACGCCATTAGCCAAAATATTTTATGTGTCTGTTCTACAGACAGCTGAGTTCTCCAACCGCTCACTTCTCCTTGCATGCGCTATATAGTACTCACAATCAGCTAATGGCAGATGCCCTCATCTGACTCCGCGTGCAGCTGTTCCAGATGTGGAGATGGCTCAGGAGTGAAGTGGACCCAGAGTTCAAAGCCTTAAGAGGGATTAGTTTATATTCAACACAACATGGGCTGGTTTACGGGAGCAGAGCACGGTGATTTTTAACTATAATCAGAAAGACAGATGGTAGGTAGACGGACGGTCGATTGATTGACACTGGAATGTGTCAGGTGGTCCTAGCTGTGTCTTTTCTCCTGGAATGCCTTCTTTAAAAGACCCCCTTTCTGTCGCTACATTCCTATATAACAAGTGAAGTGGTAAAATGGTCTTTCTGAGGTTTGAGGCCTGAGTAGACTTAACTCCAGACAAAAGAGAATCTCATAGCAGCCAGAACCAGGGACACTGAAGACTGCTAGAACGTCAGGCTAGAAAGGGGAATGAATGTGTGGGAATCTTAAGCTCATATCAGCTTATATATGTCAGTGCTTAACTCCTTACGATGAACTGCTCCAGAGCTACTAATTTTAAAAAAATGACATTGCAAAAGCTAAATATGTGGGCTGGAGAGATGGCTCAGTGGTTAAGAGCATTGCCTGCTCTTCCAAAGGTCCTGAGTTCACTTCCCAGCAACCACATGGTGGCTCACAGCCATCTGTAATGAGGTCTGATGCCCTCTTCTGGCCAGCAGACATAAACACAGACAGAATATTATATACACAGAAAATAAATAAATAAATATTTTTTAAAAAAAAGCTAAATATGTGCGTGTGCGTGCACATATACATGCATACATGTCCATCCCGTGTGGCCAGGAGGGAACACGGTTTCCTATTGGAGCGCTGTGTCATTCATCTGTGTAAAAGCGTGTCACTTGCTGGTCATTTCCCTTCCCTTGGTATCGGGCCTGACATCAGGATTGGGACCGAAGCTATCCATGAAGCATGGACTCAACTCCCGTCCCCTTGCTGACCAAAGTCTACATTTTAGCTTCCTCTGAGGGGCCAGGATGATATGTACGGCTTGGAGATAGGAGAACTCATCGAGAACGTGTTTTGAATAGCTCCCAAGTTACATTGTCTTTTGCGTTACTGAGCCGGTGAGTAGGGGTGGCAGGTAACTCCTTCGGGTACGAAAGCACGTGCTGTCTGTTGAGGGCTGTGGGCATGAAGCACAGAACACTGTGAGGTGCATTGCAATTGTTCTCATATTAGCAGTGGTCCAGAAATAGGACCAGAGTCGAAACTGCCTACGCTCCTGATACATATATGAACAGCAGTTCTTCTGACCATCTGGAGCGAAGGGGTCTGGTGATTAATGGCGATAATATGTTTGAGACTTCTTAAAAGTCGTTGCTGATTCTCAGAGTTCCACCCTTGTTTCCCCACTTACTCATCTTGCTTTTGTGTGTGTTCGTTCATTTGTAGAGTGTTAATGACATTCGCACAGAGGAGGTGGCTGTCGTGACAAAAGGGCCATCCACCTACCCTGCCTCCGAGTGGGAGAGCCCCAAGCAGTCAGTGGTCCCTAGTCAGAATCTGATGACCACCCCACCGGCGTCTCCTCAGAGCTATGGTTCTGGCTCCCTCTCCATAAACAGCAAGGAGGCGGAAGAGAAGGAGCAGGGGACAGCTGGCTATCATGATGCTCATGAGATGCCAACAGGCCCAAGTGGGGAATGTTTAGGAGTGGAGGAACAGCCCAATTCCATAAGTTTCCCAGTAACTCCAGCTTCCTGCCAGCTGCAACATGGTGGAAAAAAGGCAGAGAGTAGTGAAGAGCCAGTTGCACCAGCAGAGACCCTTGAGACCCAGAGCGGATCCTCTCTTGACTCTCGCGTGGGTAACCAGGTCCCCACCCTCATTCGAAGTTTCCAGGTAGTAACTGATGTGACGATGCAGGTCTGATGACACTCTTTGGGAGAGGGCCAGAATCTGTGGAGGAGGTGGCAGCGGTGGTGGTAAAGGACGTGACCTCTGCAGTTTGATGCCGTAAAGGAACTCAATCAGAGGAATTAACTCTAACTAGACATGGTTTCCTCTTCTGATGACTTAACAAAACTCTTGGGAGTAAATTCCAGCTCTTTACCTTCGTGGAGCTGGTGTAAGAATGTTCCTCTCTCCTCTCTCAAGGATGAGCTATGGCAAGAGATGAATTACTCCTGTGGGGAGGAGCCTTCGGGGTTCTGAGACCACGCTCAGACACTTTCCAGTGCTCCTTACTAACATTTGATCTTAAACGACAGTTTATACTGCTCTACTGTGCAACCCACCACTTCCACTGACCCCCGGGGGACTCCGTGATCGTAGGCACTAACTACTGCACTGAGGTGAATGGTCCCTTAACCTTATCACAATCCAATGGTAGCTTTAGGGTGATTGGTGTCCTGGGAGAGGTAAACAGATGAGCAGGAGGGTCTCTACCACCCCACTAATGCTCGTTCTTTTGGAATTTTGAAATTAATCACCAGGTGGTGGGAGAACTGATTTTTTTTCCTTTCTGGTTTTCCAAACACTATTTCTTCTCAGTGAATCCAAAGTGAACGTCTGACATTGATTTGAAAGAAGTTAATGAATTCCAAGGAAATGCGTTCCAAGGCCTCTCTGCTTCGTGTACATTTGTACTCGGTGGAGAGATGTGCCTGGTTTTCTTAATTATAATATCCAGTCACAAGGATGAATGAAAGTGATTTCTATTTGGCAAATAATTTTATATTCAAATTCTGAAGGTCAGTCTAAAGTGTTTTATATCACCGGTCATAAACTGTCTGGTGTTATAGTTTTCCATTAAGCTTATGAACATAATTACAGTGGTGCCACTTTGAATGCCCTTCTCGAGGTGTGACACCCCATGGGGGCTCCTTGGGAACCGTGTCTTCGGAGAGTGGCTCCAGCCTTTGATCAGATCAGTGTCAGAGGTTCAGCTCCCCACGCACTGCGGGAAGGTTTGGCCAACTCTGTTTCCTTACTGTCCACAGCCTCCCCTGGTAAAGACTCAGACTGTCACCATCTCAGACACTGCCAATGCTGTGAAAAGTGAAATCCCAACCAAAGATGTTCCTATTGTCCACACTGAGACCAAGACCATCACCTACGAGGCTGCCCAGGTAAGACTGACTGACACTCCAGAACAAAGACAGACTGAAGACAGTAGATGGTTTCTCCCTTTGGGGCCCCCAATTACTGTAAGCACAAGGGCGTCCCAGTGAGCACTCTGGGCGCTCAGGTAATCAGTGTACTCACCATGCACGAAGACCTGGGGTCAGTCGCTAAACCACACAAAACTGGGTCTGGTTTGGGCTGGGATGATGGTTCACCAGGTTCTCCTATTGGAAGATTCAGGCTCGTTAGTGTGACCTATGGGTCAGTGAAAGAGCCTGTTTCAAATATAGGATGAAAAGCACCCGAGGACTGGGACCTGTGGTGTCCTCCGCCCTCTACAGATGTGCACCTGCACCTGTTTGTGTGGGTACACACATAAAAGTGAAGACTGGGCGTGGCTGGCGCACACCTGAGGTGCCAGCACTCGATGTGGGAACAGAAGGATCAGGAGTTCAAGGTCATTCGAAGTTATACAGCGTGACGTCTGCCTGGGCTACCCGTGAGACCCTTTCTCAAAATAATTTATCTTAAAAAGGAAATAAATGCAGAACGCCAGGCTGAGGGTTTTAACTTGGTGGAAGAACATTGCACTTGACATGTGGGCAACCCCAGTTCACTCCCCACACCAAAGAGCAAATGAAGTTGCCACAGGTCTGACTACGTATGTTCTCCACCCAAGTCGTCTGGGAAAGTTACTCTAATGTGAAGAACATGGGCTTTGGGTCAGATAAACCTGAGCACGGTTCTGCTCGTCTGGGTCCTAACTTGGGCACGTCATCACGTGAGCCTTGGCCAGCCCTGCCCACAGTGTTAGTGTCCATGTCATGGTATTATTGTGAGGGTTCAAATTGTTTTTAAGTCTTTCACTTTCTAGTTACAGTGAAACTTCATTGTTTTTGGTAATCCGACTATGCTAGAATTACGCTGTTCTGTTGAATTCTCTCTCTCTCTCTCTCTCTCTCTCTCTCTCTCTCTCTCTCTTTCTCTCTCTCTAATTAGTCACAGAGGGCAAAAAGTTAATCTTCTGTGAGATGAGCTCTTAATTTACTTCTACAACATGTTTATTGAGTTTTATGTGTTAAGTCAAAGTGGTGATGTCAGGGCAGGCAGTCCCCACCCTCTCTAGGGAACATTCTAGTAAGGAGAGAAAGGTTGCCATAAGCCCTGCCACACCCAGACACAGTGGCCCACAGTGGAACCCAGGCAGGGGTGCCCCCATCCCCAGCCTACCCTGAAAGACCCTGACTGGAAAAATTAACAACGACCAAAAATGAAAAAGGAGGAAGAAACCCACGTAAACAAATATCAGATACTAGAAAGTTCTAGAAGCTGAAAGGGGTAAATAGATAATCCAGGGAGCTAGGGTGTAGCTCACTGGTAGAGCACAGCGTAAAGGGGCAGCCATGAAACTCTGGCTGGACACTGAAGATCTTCTCAGTCGGTCTTCCTGGCACCGTGAACCCTTGGGAAGCTTGGAGGACAAAGCCTGTGCTTTGTAGTTAGACACAGCATTGTGTGTCCCGAAAGGGGCAGCTACTTATGCATAACCTCAGACAAACTCCCAGCCCATCCATTCCCTGGCTCTACCCCTGCTGCCGCACGATTGGGGGGAAGTTTAGGTGAGATGGTGTCTGCCAAGTGCCGGCATCTCCAGAGATGCTCAGTCTGTATCTGTGCGCTCCCCTCCACTCTCTTTGTGGTCGAGAGCGTAGAATTTAAATTTGGTGAGAGATAAGTTCAGGGGTAGATGGTAAAGGAGCATCATTAAAGCAATGGCCTTTTAAAGGTGATTCCTAAAGCTGCAGGTGACTGTATTAAAGTAGGGACGGGCTTGAAGACGACACTGTGACAGATCTGGGGGATGATTCTAAGAACAGCAGTAAGTGTCGCCTTTGGAAATGAAGAGAAAGGCCTGTCAGTCAAGAGAGACGGGAAAAAGCTATCGAGGAGGCCTTGGCAGGGGTGAGGACTGAAGAGGAAGGGAAGAAAAATTGCTTCATAATTGTATACACCTGGGGATGGGAATCCAGGCTCCACCAGGGATTCTGCGCCTTCTTAATCCTCCCTTTCCCCACCCCCCAGTACCTCAGAGTCTGGATGAAATGTGGTCCTGCTCATAAATGAAATAAAGCCAGTCACAGTGTTCCATACCTGAGGTCTCAATTACTCCGGAGCTGAGGCAGGAGAGTTAGCCTAAGAATTCGAGGCCAGTCTGAGCAGCACCATGTCTTTTTAAAAATAAAATTGAAAGTGCTTGCTTGCTCTGGTGACACAGGAGGAGGAGGCAGTCATCTACTGCGTGTTTGCTGTAATACCCTTTATGTGTGGACCCGTGGAGACCTGTGCAGCTCTGACTGCCCACCTACCTGCTGATAACACCTCTCACGGCCCGTCACCATCTTTTTAGCTTCTCGCTAATGTCATTCTTAGCTAATCATAATAAGCAGCCGCATGTTTGATTCCCATGTAGATTAGCTGCATAAACTGGCATGTGAGATAATTTAAGCCCCTCCCAGCAAGAGGAGCCCTTACAGTAACAGTTTGCTGTCCGCAGCATCACTAACGCCTGTTGTGCATGTGTCCTGCGTCCTCATGAGGGGACACTTTCTGATTCATTTGCTCAGTCCCTGGCTCAGTTGTTGGAGGTGGAACTGTTCCCTCGCTGGCTAGCACGGTCTTTCCTGTTTCATCCTGTGATGTCGCTCCCTCGCACCCCAGCCGCCAGGAGCCCTTACTCTCCTGCCTTGGGTGTGAAGAGCACAAGCTCTGGGGAGAATGCACTGACTCCTTGGCAGTTTTAAGTCTTGAGTCTTCGCGCCTGAGCAGGCGAATGGTTCTGTCCCTTCTGTCGCTTTCATAGGATGGCTTTACTAAAGATGCTTTAATGCCCTGTGGGGGCATTTGGGACTGTGGGATGTTGCCCCTGTGTAGCTTGGAGCTACTCTTCAAACTGTGCTATACTCTTGCCTCTTTCCGCACCACTCCAGTCACTGACCTGATGCTGAGCAACTTCTATTCCTCAGCATTTTGGGGGGCAAGGGGGCCACAGGGTCTCACTGCATAGCCCTGGCTAGCCCAGAAGTTATAAATCAGGCTGACCTCAAACTCAGTGATCTGCCTGCCTCTGCTTTCCAAGTGCTGGGATCAAAGGTGTGCACCACACCTGTCCTCATTCAACTTTTTGTTTGTTTTGAGACAGGGTCTCACTGTAGCTCTGGCTCTCCTGAAATTCACTCTGTAGACCAGACTGGTCTTGAACTCACAAAGATCCACCTGCCTCTGCCTCCCAAGTGCTGGGATTAAAGGCCCGTACCACTACACCTAGTTTTAACTTTTATTTTTAGTGTGTATGGGTGTTTTGTTTGCATGTATGTTTGGGTACCACACATGTGCTTGGTGCCCAGGGAGGCCAGAAGAGGATGTTGGGTTTCACTGGAAGTCGGGGTTACAGATGGTTGTGAGCTGCCATGTGAGTGCTGCGGAATTATGGCCCTATCAAACTTAGATCCCCTGGAAGAGCAGCCAGTGCCCAAACCACCCCGAGTCATCTCTCCAGTCCCATTTATCCTGCTTGTTAAGAAAGAACCTGTTTGGGCTGGAGAGATGGCTCAGTGGTTAAGAACATTGACTGCTCTTCCAGAGGACCTGAGTTCAATTCCCAGCAACCACATGGTGGCTCACAACCACCTATAATGAGATTTGGTGCCCTCTTCTGGCCTACAGGCAGGATATTGTATAAATAAATAAATGAATGAATGAATGAATAAATAAATAAATAAATAAATAAAAAAGGAAGGAGGGAGGGAAGGAAGAAAGGAAGGGTGGTTCTGCTTATTAGCTGAGAGGTCGCGTGAGGGAAGTAGATGTTTGAGCAGGAGAGAGAGCTGAAGAGCCACGCTGCACCTGGGGGGTCTCAGACCAAGGCCTCCTGAGGGGCTGACTTGTGTGTGCTTTCTTCTGCAGACTGAGGACAGCAATGGGGACCTGGACCCTGGAATCTTGCTGACAGCTCAGACCATCACTTCTGAGACCACAAGCAGCACAACCACAACTCAGATTACCAAGGTAGCAGAGCTTCCGATGGCATCTGAGCTAGATAGAGGGGACCAACATAAGCAAAGGCTGTCAGCTCTGTTCCAGGTGGAAGGACCTGATGCCTTCCCCAGAATTCACCTGGAAAGCCACGTTTAGTCTTTCTCATTGCACATCTGTCCATCTTGCTGTGGATAAGGTCTAAATGTCAGCTTGGGGTGGGGTATAGCTCAGTGGAAGAGCACCTCCCTATCACGCACAGGTTGTGGGCTCCATCCTCAGTATGAGTGCACACACAGGCATACAGGTGTTTTGTTTTGTTTTTTTTGAGACAGGATTTCCCAGTACCTTTGGAGCCAGTCCTAGAACTTGCTAAGTTCTAAGACCAGGCTGGCCTTAAACTCACAGAGATCCACCTGCCTCTGCTTCCTGAGTGCTGGGATTAAAGGCGTGCGCCACCACCTGACTCACACACACAGTTTAAGGGCAGAGATTATTGATGTGGTACAACCATATTTTCTGAGCTAGAAGCCAGATTTCTGATCTGATGAATCATTTTTAGTTGCATTCTGAGGCCATGTGAACCATAATTTGGAGATGAAATGCTCAAATCACTAGAACACTTTATAGGAAGCAAGGCAGACAAAATGTCAAAAGTTCGAATTATCCTTACACAATCAGGCAGTCCGTGTTTGCTGTAGCACTAGAAGAAATGCGCTCCCTTCCTTCCCCTCCCACCCCTCCCTCTTTCCCCCCTTCCTTCCCTTCCCATCCCTCCCTCTCTTTCCCCTCCTTTCCTTTCCATCCCCATCCCTCTCTCTTTCCCCCTTCCTTCCTTCCTTCCTTCCTTCCTTCCTTCCTTCCTTCCTTCCTTCCTTCCTTCCTTCCTTCCTTCCTCCCTTCC